CAGCTGATAAATATGGTTAAAAACTGGGATTCGGTATTGCAAGATAATCCACATTACCCTGACTGCACTAAAGCAAAGGAGATGTTTCCTGAAGACTAATTGCATGTCTTGCATAGGATGAACCTATCACGTTAAACCAACTTACCATTTCTTCAAAAAGTGAAAAAGTTTGGGAGTATGGAAGTAGGAGTGGGAGGGCTGGGATATAGTTCAGAGGCAGAAAAATTGCCTAAAATGCACAGGCCCCTGGTTTCAGCCCCAGCACTGAGAACAATTTTCTAAGAGCTAGATTGGCAATGAAAACAGGAACTATGATTTTTTTTTCTCTTTTTAAAATGTGTGGCTCATACAAGTAAGAGGGAAAAGTTGTCATATATATGTGTGTGTGTATGTGTGTGTAATATAACATTTTTATTAATAGTCCCCATCACAGTCAAGTGTCTCCTGGATTTATGGAGTTTTGAAATCCAAGTAACTTCATGGTTGTTCATAATATCCAAACAAACTCGTGTCCTTACAATCTTTCTCAACTGGCCTCAGCCTCACCATATCTGACTCCTCCATCATAGCTGCAGCTCTGAAAACCTCTATTGAAACTACACAAATGTGTTTATTTATATAAATGATGCCAGGCATAAATGTGCATTGGTGAAATGAGCAGTATTCATGAAACATTTTGTAAAGCCACAGTTCTTACTCATCGCGGAGTAAGACACAGGAACCCGGGTTCCCAGCGTTGAGATTACTTGAAGCAGCAGCAGGGCTTAGAGCAACATTCAGCCCTAATTCTGCCTCAAATCCTTCTCCCATCTCCTTGCACCCTCTGGCCTCAGGCCTCCCCTCCAGCCCAACCACAAAAGACCTCTATTTCCTGGCCTGACTTGGCCTCTGCTGCCAGATTATCATGGCTCCCTCTCAGAGCTCACTCTTCACAGCAAGTGCTCGTCAGCCTGTGAGAGCTGGAGACGGCTCTGCACTTGCCAACCCATCCCTGGCACAGTTTCCTTCCTGCTTGCCAACGATGCTGGCCTTCCGGGGACTCTCAGTCTGAAAGTTCTTTTCACAAAACTCCCTGGGCTGTGAAAAAGACCTGAGCACACCTGGGGTTGGGGTGGAGACAGGCAGGAGGCAGTGAAGAACACGCCAGCCCTACCTTCATGTCTGCCGCTAGCTCCTCCCTAATGATCCTTGAATCCAAATTGCTTGGGTCAGCTTGCACATCCACTCCGAATGGCACTGATGCTGGGGGAGCACAGTGTGGGTCACGTGTCTTCCTCCTCTCCCCCTCCCTGGGCCAGAGTCTTCAGGTACCCGACCGCCGTCCCGTCCTGTACGGCGGCCGAGTGTGGAAGGGTCGCAGGCCTCCACTGTCTTCACTCCACGCGCTTTGGTGCTGCCTTTGCCAATAGGCCCCACCTGTGTTCCTGTCGTGGGTTCAGTGATGTCCCTAAAAGTGAAAGTTGAAGCTCTACTCTGAGCCTTTTCAAATAGAGTCATTACAAATGTCCCCGGGTTAAGATGAGGCCATTAGGGCTCTAACCCAATATCACTGGAGTCCTTGTTAGGAGAGAAGCATGCTCCATGGAGGTTTGGGATGGAGCACAGATCTGCTGGCACCGTGAGATCAGCTTCTTATTTTAAGACACCCAGTTTGTGGTTCTTATGGCATGATCCTGTGTTGGGGACCGCAAATCAAGTCAAGATGGAAGTTTGCCAGGAGGAGTGGTTTGTGAGGCAATGCCTCGGAGCCATTTAGATGGTGGAGATTCCTTATTGGCTGACTGCTGTATCTGGATGATGCTAATTGAGTCAAGCTGTGCGTCATCAGTTAGGTATATATACCTCTGCTGCCCCGCAATAAAGCGGCTCCCGCTACCTTGGGTGCCCGCTGCCTTGAGTTCCCACTCAGTTCCCCTACAGTAAAGCAGTTCCCGCTTCAACCTTCAAGTTGCTTGTCACCTCCCGGTTATTTTGCCCAGCCGGACTGCGGCAATCCTGTTTAGCTTCAGAGCAGATACGTGCCCCGTGCTTATTGTACAAACAGTTAATGGCTGGGGGCGTGAGACCACCTCATCTACTGCCTCTCCATCCTTCACATTGAACTAAGATCAGCTTCCTGTCGAGCAACTTTCACTCTTACCCTCATTCCCTTGCTCACAATCTTGTAGATTATCTCCTGCACTTAGAGCCGAAGGTCTGAGCAAAAGCCTCCAAGGACCAAGCCCCCCATCCATCAAGCCTCCTGCTGCGCTTCCCCAGGCCTCCCTGGTGCTGCGGCCTCTTCTGCCCGACTCTGCCCTTCCCTCCAGAACCTCTGCCTCCTGCACACCTACCCCACCCTGGCCCCAGATCTGCCCCCTCCCATCTCTGCAGGTCACAAGGAGTTCACGTGCCATTTTTGAATGATGGCTTTTGTAATCTATTCTTCCAAGTAGGAACTTGCATTTCCCTGCTTTGTAAGACCACGTGTGTGTGTACTTGTCCCTCTATTTTAACACCACCCTATGGTGTGGTTTATTATAGTGAATCGTGAACATACTCAATTTCCCTGACTGCAAACAATCTCCTTATGGGTTTGTGTTTCTGCACACTCTG